TGATGAATGACTTCAGATTGCCAATGCATGAACTCCAGTTCAGAGGCAAGAATTCTTGAAGACTCTGCCTCTTGAAGATAACCCCATTGCCAAGGCAGTCCTGCAGATCTGGACGAAGGCTTGAGGAAGAAGGTCTTCGCCTCTGTGTGACGATCTTCTCTGAAAAGGGGAGGGCAGAGCTCAGAGCACATCTGCAGGTTCAGTGCGTTAGAGAAAGTGTGTCAGATTAACCTCGGGCGGGTGTGCAGGATGGCTGCCTCACGCTGCTTTCTCCTTTCTGCTATCTGTGCTCTGTGCGTGGCGACTCTGCCAGCGACCGTAAGTGATTCTAAATTCTCATCATACAATTTCTGCTCTGTCAGAGAGCTGTGCTGGTTGATTTATATCCAATGGTGGTGTGGCTCATCAGTCAGACCGATCAGGCTCGTTAACTTCTGGGTTGTTGCAAAAACATATCTGCCAGAATCAAGAACGGAATTTTGTGTCAATAACTGTGTATTGATCGTTTTGTATCAATAACTGTAAATTGATAATCTCATGTTAATTATGTAGAGACTGGCTGGAGCAGTGTAGGTTTTGCTTGTCATGTTTTTCTCTTGTCCTTTAAGTAATGTCAGGTTAAGTGTGGATTATGGGAGAAGTTGCTCTCCACTCAGAAGCAGAGTTTCTAGTACCTCAGGAATCTGTCTGATATAGTTGATGGGTCTCCTTGGTCTGGGAGAGTCAGGCAGGGCCTCTGGTTTTTATTGCTCCTAATTGAAACACTTACCGACCACCTGGTCTTGACGCTTTTTATAAAGCCTGAAGATTGCGAACTGCGATTGTAAACAAATGTACAGAACTGTACAATATATCCTGTTCTACTGAGAAAGGTTTAACAAAAATGAGCAACAGCAACAGTTTGGGAAAAAGGCGTATAAATGTCATTCCTGACGTCAGCATCACACTCCGTGACCCCTCTCTCTGCCGTGACTGTGGGGCTCCAGTCCTCAGAGCTTCCGTGTCTCCGCCTGTTAGAAAGGGCTGAGCTGGCCAAAGTGTTCAGCTGACCCAGTAGAGGTTTAACCCCCTGGCTGGGCTCGGATCCAGGAGGAACGATGCCTCTGCCCTAATGTGAATCCCTGCTCCACAGCAAAATGAGTTTTGGTTCATAAAATGTTTGTATTTGAAAGCCAAGTTCATTAATAAAGCATTTCTGTTTTCCTTAACTACCTTTTCTTTTATTTGCTGTTTTCGTTCATGCCTTGCAGCTTTGAAACCTAGTGTATCCAATTAGGGCATCAGAGTACAGAGCAAAGGAAGTTACTTTTTTCATAGATTTTACCACACAAATAGTTTCATCTTGAGGTGGACCAGTGCAGTCTCAATATTTGGTCATCAGCTGCACATCTCTACGACCCCCTGCCTTCAGACTGGCCGTCGGCTGCGGGTACGAGGGCGATCACACCTGCTCCTAATGGAAGTTCTCATGCCGAATTTTTATCGTTCGCAGAGCGGACTGGAGGCCATGCACGCAAACGGTACTTCCCTCTCTCTCCTCTCTCCTTAACCCCATCCGGGAATTTTGGCAAAGGCGGGAGGTGAATTTCTGCTCCTCAGGGTGCCGGGCCTCTCTTGGAGAGGGGTGGGACACACACGGGTCTCTGATGAATTGGGGCATTTCGACTGACGTGTAAGTGTTCGCAGCTGGAATGACTGTGTGAGCCGGGCCCTTGACCTTTAACCCCTCCTCTCCCTCTGCCTCTGCCCAGCCTGGTATCCGGGGGAAATCAACGTGACTGCACGAGGAGCCGATGTCCTCGTGTCTTTCTCTCTCGCCCCGGCGGAATTCAACATCCTGCAGTACGTCGTGTTTCACGGAGAAGTGAGGGAGGGACAGAGCAAGCCTGCGAAAGTCCAGGCCACTCGAGTGGTGAGTGCAGAGAGCAGGAGAGCATGATGGGTGGGGGGCCGCGGTGTCACTGCTAACGCAGTCTAACGAGCGCTCCTCGGTGATGGAGAGAGCCGTGTGCCCAACCCTTCTCCTCCTCATGCAAGCATGTGCATCGTCTCGGGGGTACGAGGCGTGTTACAGGGGATTGACGATGCCGGAAGGAGGTTGTGTCTGATGAGATTTCAGATGCTCCCGCAGGGTACCTGACACTTTCAACAAGCACTGTAGCCATGTCCTCTATCCCCCAATTTCTGTACAATGTTTAAATGCCTCTTACTCCTGGGAACATCCTGAGTATCCCAACCTACCCAGATTCATGCCTAATTGTCACCTCTCTCGTCTTGATAGCACCCTTCTTTACTTTTAGGAAAAAAAACTTTTATCTAAAAATCTGGAAGAACTTCACTAGTGTGTCACTTGCACAATTTCTTGGTCTTGGATGGCTAGTCAGTGTTTCTGCATTTTCTATGTCGTTTTATATCACCAGCATCTGAAATGCTGGGAGAAGCTTTTAAACTGCCCAGATAAGCCGTAATGAACTGATTAAAAACACAAGTGAAGACACACTGATACCTCTGGCTTAATCTAGCATCTATCTTCTTGGCTCCAGAGACACACACACTGATCCTCCTAAGAAAAATCTCAGATCCTGACAATGATTTGACACCATTTGCTGACTTTCTGGGTGCTGATGCCTGGATTAGTCAGGTGAAGTCTGATCACCATCGATAGCCTCTGATGTGACCTGCTGTATAGACAATTCCTTTCTCCACGATCTGTCAATTCAATTGTGTAAGCTTCTAATGACCTGCACAAGATCATCATTACTGTATATAGCTGTTTTTTAGCATGTTATTTTATTAGTATGGTGTCAGTAGGTCCTATGCGAGGGTGAACTTCCTTGATTATGGGGAGGAATCTGTGGGTGGCTGGTGGCTCTGCTTCATTGCGACATGAGAAATGTTGACCCTGTCCGGTCTCTGGCAGCTGGTCAGCCCTCTCAACATCACTGGACAGACGGTGCTTCACAATCTCAAGCCAGGGAGAACCTACAGCATCATGGTGAGTGTGCGGTCCAACACAATATGTGTGCAGTCAGCTCCAGTTCTAGAGTGCAGTCAGTGACAGTGAGAGTGCAGTCGGTCACAGTGAGTGTGCATTTCCAGTGAGAGTGCAGTCCGTCACAATGAGTGTGCAGTCAGCACTTGTGAGAATCCATTTACCATGGTTAGTGTGCAATCTGTCTCAGTGAGTGTATACTCCACCATGGTGAGTGTGCATTTCAAAAGAGTACAGATAGTACAGTCCGTCACAGTAAGTGTGCAATACATTTTATTAAGTGTGCAATCTCATTGACATTACAATCCATTGTGGCAATTGTGCAGTCCGTCACAGTGGGAGAGTAGGATGTTATAGTGAGTGCGCCATCTGTCATGGTGAGCGTGAGAGTGCTATGTCAGGTGTAATTAACACAGCGTCATCACCAGATTCACAGAATGTTGGAGTGTGGAACTGTCTCTGCACACTGTGCAATGTGAGCTCTTGATCTGTTTTTCCACTCTGGCCTCTGGGACAGGTTGCAGCTGATATTGAGGATGCTATAAGGAAAGCAGTGAGTTTCACTTTTCCTGCAGCTACAGATGAGAACAACGTGTTTGTGAACGGGACCAAAGATAACTGCACCAGCTTAGAAGGTCAGTCTCAATAGCAGGGGTTCTTAGCTGTGCAGAAATTTAGATTATTATTTTTTTCACACCAGACCACTGTCACAGGAAATCCTGGAAGTCATCAAAATCACTATTTATACAACAGTTATTACAAATAAGCAGCAAGGAGGGAAACATGCAGGTGTGGATAAATGGACATTTCTTTCGGACTTGGTGTCGGGATGTTTACGTGCTGGAATCACTGATCTGTTCAAGTTGTACAGTAATCTGTAGATTAGGCAGAGCATCACAGTGTAAGACAGCAGTGCTCCTTGAGCATCATGACACCTTGTTTTTCAGTTAGTCCGTTCTTGTTTCTCTGTCGTGGTGGAAAGGGGGAGACGAGGTGAAGAGACTGACCGTTATTGGCCCAGCTTGCTCGTCCACACTTCCTTCACTCCCTGGGCATTTATTTCACTGCTCCGTGTCCCTGCAGGTGTCTTGCCCTGGATTGTGGGTTCTACTGGCCTCCTGATTCTGCTACTGATACTGAACACCGTGTTCTGGGCACTCAGCTACCACCGGGACCAGAGGTCGGCATTGCTTCACGAGTCACCACTCGCCTACAGAGCGCCTCGGTGCCCCGCCACATGCAAGCTGTCTGATTCCTTTTGATTATCATGAATTCATCCATCCATCCAGTTCCTAACCATTTCATCCAGTGCAGAGGAGCTGGAGCCACACTGGACTTCGCCAGGCAGATACACGCACACACTCACCACTCTCACACCAGGGCCAGTTTTCCCAGATGCCAGTTAGCCTGCCAGCATGTTTTTGGACTGTGGGAGGAAACCCACATGAACATGTTGAGAACATACAAACTCCACACAGGCAGCACCCCAGGAATCGAACCCGGGGCCCCAGCACTGCTGACCACTGTGCCCCCCCACGACGCATCCCCCTCCCCTTCACCTTTCGAACTGTTTCTGCTCAGAGCTGCTCTGAGGGCCCTGTTGTCTCTGCTGTCCTGCTGGCAGGTGGTGCTGCTGGGGACAGGGTGGCCCGGGGACCGTGTCTGTCCTGCAGGCCTGACAGCGGAGCCGCTCCGAGGACGGACCTGCGCCGAGAGAGCCGCGCCCCGCGCCCCGCGCCCGGATCGCCCCGCGGAGCTGTCTGCGCGGGAGGCCCCAGAAACAATAAAGCTCCTGCAAGCCAGCAGAGTGTGCACGGCCCTTCTGTCTCCAAGTTTAGAAAACATATTTATTATCTCTATACAAACTGCAAAAAAAAACTGTAATAATAATAATTACAAATAACCTTATTAATTTAAGCTACCACAAGAAACAAATCTCCACGTGTGAAACGGGAGTAGGTCATTTAGTCCAACAACAAACATCAAACAGAAAAATAGCTACACAAGAGAAGAAACCAGTGCCAGGACCATATTCTTTCCAAGAAAGGAGTTAACCTGCCTCCCACCCCCGGTGTGCTCTTGTTGGCAAACAGGTCTAGGAGATGAAAAGTTGGATAAGGAATGGGAACCAGGAGTCCGGATTCCAAGCAAAAGGAGCAGGAAGCAGCCAGCTGCTGCCTCCCGGTGTCCCATCCTACCTGGGAAGAAGGATTGAATCAATCCAATGGAGCTTAATTAATGCCTGATTAGACAGTTGAGACCAGGTGCCTGTCAGTGTGCTTGCAGGTCTCCTGAAAGCAGAAGCACTGATCCAGCTTCTCCCTGTATGAGCTGAGGGAGGTCAGTATGGGCCCAGCTGGACCCCCCAGGCCAGCTTCATTCTGCTGGCCCGGCTCAATTACTTAACTGAAGCGTTAACTGCTTGTTTGATTGGAATGTTTGGATGGGTTTTTTTTTTTCCTGCTCGGAACGTAGGGATTTCATGTAGCTTATTTAATGCAGTAGTTAAAGGGCAAACTCACAGTCTTGTTTCGGAACTGGAAACAAATTATTCACAGTCAGTCAGTTAAGGGCTGGACCGTGGGAGTGTGAGGTTGTGGGGCTGGCAGGGTCCGGGAGTGTGGCCCTCCAGCAGCAGGCTGATCCAGCAGGGTTTCTGTAGGGATTGGAATCGCCAGCAGCAGCGAGGCTGTGGAGCAGGATGAATTGGTCCATTTCAAGCTCAGCTGGATCAGGCTGACGTGCCCCCAGGTGAGGACTGTTTGTGATGTAGGCAGATATTGAAAACCTGCTGGACTGCAGGCCAACAAGACTGGATTTGAGCTCCCCCGTTATCAACACTGAGGGGAGATGTTTGCATTTTTTCATCACACAGCTGCACTGAGCCCAGACAGGTGTGTCATTTTTTTAACTTTGAGCTCCAAGTTGAAAAGATCTTATCAGAATGCTGATGGGTTTAATACTCTGTGATTCCACCTCATGCCTCAAATGTTCAAGCAGCTTCTTAAATGATCCCTGGCCATTATACTAGCGAGAGCCACAGATTTGATTCCTCCTGGTTCTCGCATTCGACTCGCTTGTGTTCTAGCAACACCAATGGCCTGTCCGCAGGGGAAAGAATATGGTCACGAGCATCTTTTTATTTTGCTTTTCTGTTCCGGTACAAAATCTTTTCCACGGAGCGCTGAGGAGGTAGACGTTCTCTCTGGGATGGGTGTGCAGCGTTTCTACGCCCTGATCTGCTCCGATTCATTTCCTCCTTGGACTCTGCCGAGTGAACTCAAACTCTATAAACTTCTGCACAAGGTGAATGTCTTGGGAATGGTCCCTTCTGCTACAGCGCTTTTATCTGTAGCTCAGAGCTGCTCTTTCAGCTTTGTTCTTGGCCGCCCTGACGTGTGTGCTGATGGCAGCTCTCAGAAACAGGAAGCTGAGGAAGTCACTGCTGTCAGGAAGCGTCTCAGGACACAGAGAACAGCACCTCGCGCCTGGGAGGAGCTCGTCTCCGTTTTGTGATGCGGGGGCTGTGTTTGGCAGCTCCACTGAGAAAATCTACCTCCTCCTCCTCCGTGAACACTGGTCCTGTTAATATACACAGATAACCCCACCCCAAACCCACAACACCAAAGTGCAGAGCTCAAAGGAATATTTACATCCTGAAAATAAATATTTGTCATGGAGTCGGTGAGGCGAGAGAGTGTGGTGGTACTTGGCCTTGCGATTAAACTGTACACGACATGCACGGCCTCGGGCGGACCGCATGTGTTACAGATGCAGTATATATAGTCCAGCCCTGGGCCCCGGCCCCAGAACCTCCAGTGTCCAAACTGTCCCCAATGTCCACCTGCTCCCTCAGTAGCTAACCACGACCTTCTGGGATAGTGTTTCCGGGCTCCTCAACCATTCAGAGTGAAGAAGCCGGAGGAACTTTCGGTTTTGTCAAGACCATGATGGTGCTTTCAGCTCCTGCTGCTGGGTCTAGATCAGTGGTCCCCCGCCCTGCTGCTGGGGGATTCCTCTGCCTGCTGGCTTTCATTCCAGCTGAGCTGTTAGTCTCTGGTGTTAATTGATGGTTTTAATTGCTTTCTTGCTTACAGCACTAGATCTACTCCTACTCTCGGTCCTTGTTTTTTAAAACACACACTTTCAAGTGGATCGGTCCAACAACATGCAGCCTGGAGATCTGTCTTCAAATGTTGAGCAAGAGCCTGTTCCCTTCTCTCTGTCTGACAGCTGATCCGGTCACGAAGACCAGAGACCGGCGAGAACAACCCTATCAGACGCCCACAGTGAGAGGGGTTTTCCTTTGCACAGGCGTCAGAAACTAGTACTGGGGCGATACCAGCTACAAAACCCACCCAGTGCTGTAAGAGCTGAAAGCCTGTTTAAAATCTTGGGGGGACAGTTAAACACAGCCAGCCCACAGTGAAGAGCACTGCTGGAACTCAAAGGAGATGCAGAGGAGCCCCATAGGAACAGGACAGGGAACCGCTGGTCTGAATTGTTTTCTTACTATATTTTAAAGTTGTTTTTTTTGCTGGATCATTAACCTGGACTTTTCTGTAAAACCCAGCGGAAGCAGCATTGCTTTCCGTACAGCTCCTATTCCCCTCCAGCTTGCAGCGGCTCTTTGGCATCGTGCCGGTCTGCGATCTGAGAGGACATTCCTGTCTGTCAGCAGGCAAACTGTCAAAAGTGAGAACTGTAGACCCATCAGCGCTTGAAACATTTCACCTTTTTAAGACATTTTCTTAATATTGTTATTTCTTAATTTCTCTTTTTCAATGTATGAGTGACAATTTTACCACAACTGCTGGCTGTGGACTGCACAGGGCACAGAAGCAGAAGGCTGTGTCTTTGATTTCACGAGAGGAATGAAGTGGGAGAGGGAGTGTCTCTGAGCCCCGGGTGTGAGAGCTAAGCTCTCTGCTCTTTACCCTGTGCTGCTCCTGCGTGCCTGCCCCAGTCAGCCTGAGCAGCTCGCAGGTCAGCTGGGCCTGCCCAAGGGTTCCAAGCTCAGAATCAACAAAGAGACAAATTAATCACTTTCTTCAGAAGGGGAAGGAATGAAACGCTCAGGCGACTTTGAATCTGGCAGGCGGTCCTCTAGACCAGCTGCATACGGCAATGTCCTCCCAGGACAGCTGGGGTCTGTGCCCCACCCAGGTGGGCCTCGGTGGGTGCTCACTGAGTGAAGAACCCCCAGTCCCAAGTAAAGCTGCTGTTTGTTACCCTGACCATCAGGTATGCTAGATCTGCAGATTTTTACATATGAGTTGGCAGTGTGCATGTTTGCACCCAGAGAAGAGCATCGTGATTCTTGACGACTGCGTGCTATCATTCTTCTTCTCACTGGTGAAGGTTGCTGCCCTCTCTGCACAGTTGAAACCATCTAAAGGACAACAAACCCTCGTACTTCTTATTCTCAAATTCTAAAGGCTTCCCCTGGATTTGAACACCCAGCTTTCTCCTCGTGGATTTGAGCAGCACGTGCTTGTGAACAGGTAGCCAGTGGATTTGCTGGGAGAGCAGCACAGCCTCCTGGTTCTGAGTGAGACCAGCAGCCCAGTGGAGCAGTGAGAAAGATTGCCAGTCCTCCACACTGCAGGGGTGGGGATACGCTTTGGACACCAGAGTAGCTGCAGAAATACTGCAGCATCATCACAGGTAAAAACAGCGGTGTGTTACAAAGGAGTCACAGTAGCGAATTCAAACAAGGTTCGAATCCCCAGCCATGCCATCAGTATCAGGACTCGCGAACACGACCGGCTCACCTCAAGTCTGTATCTTCCAGGGGCTGAACACCGCACCCCCCTCCAGACACCGGGTTCAAGACCTCTGGATTTCACGGCTTATCCCAGAATTTCTATCTTTGAGACAGGAACGGATCAGTAACTGAGGTGCAAGTGGACTCTAATGGAAAGAGCTCACCGACTACAACACCCTCAAAGCTTAGTAGTTCAAGACACAGTGACTGAGCCTTTTCTGCTTTGTAGTCTTTCCTTTTAGCCAGAGGGTTCTGCTCCACCATCAGCAGTCTTCCCATTCTGTTGTGCTAAAGGATTTTAGGCAGTTTTGGAAGGCACTTTGTTTTGGCTCTTGAGTCAGACACAGCTCGAGTTAGAGACGTGGTGGAGTGTCGGACAAGCGGAGCTCAAGAAGGGGAGGTGTCGGAAAAGTGGAGCTCGAGTCGGAGACATGATGGGATATCGGACAAAGTCGGAGGCACGGTGGGCACGTCTCTTTCCGTCAACAGTGACCTCAGATCAATTGGTCACTGAGTAATAATGAGCAAATAGTTTGCATAACGTCTGTTTTTGTTTTTATTTGAAGGTGCCATTTTTAACAGTTCTCATGTCTTGTTAAAATGTGTCGCCTCTAAGCAGGGTCAGTTTTTAATCAACAGAGCTGAAGGGCAATTGAAAGGGATTCTGTGGAGCTCCTTAAAAAAGCACCTCCAGTTGAAAACTAGTCACAATAAACGCTAATTAGCTCCCAATTAATTACCCAAAATCCTTTGTCACAGCACCAGTTAATGTGCAGATTGGGAAGTGCAACCACTGGCGAGCCCCTTCAGGAGTTCAACAGGAAAAGACCAACAGAACAGTGAAGCTCAGTTACTCTTAGTTATAAAGTGACGGTTCTTGTTTAACAGTCAGGTGGCTGTGTTTTTAGTCTCTTATTTGGTCGCTGTCTACGTGGCGTCTGTTCGTGCGCTTGGGCCTCTGGGCGGGGCTCAGCTGGTGCCAGTACGACTCGCAGTACTGGTTGATGAGGCGGATCTCCGACTGGCCCACGAGGTGAGGGGGTGGGGGCGGGGAGCCGCGGAGGGGCGTGGCCTCTGCGGAGGAGTGGGCGGGCCCTGGGAGGTCGGAAGCCGTGAGGGCCTCGATGATCTCGCGGTCCAGGACCCTGAGGGCCACGCGGGCCACCGTGTGCTTGAAGTTGTTCTCCGTCGCCAGGCAGTGGTAGATCCCGGCGTCCGATCTCCGGACCGCCTTCAGCAGGATCCCGTGGCCCGTCTTCAGCACCTGCCGGTCCCGGTTCAGCTGGGAGAGAGGGAGGGCCAGGGAGAGGAGAGGGAACAGAGTGATGATTGGTACCCCCGGTTACACAGGAAAACCGCGAGAAGCAGGGGGAAGGAAGGGAGACCCGAGCGAGGCCCTCTCCAGTCTCTCACCACTTTCCGGCGCTGCGCGCTGTCTCTCTGGAAGAGCCACTTGACGGTGGCCTGCGGCGATCGCGGCTGGCACTCCAAAAACGTGCTGCTGCCCTCCACGCCGAACTGGACCGTTTCCCGGAGCCGATTCTCCACTGGGGACAGAGGACAGGGTTAGGGCTCCCTTCCTTCCGCTGGCCCCACCCCCACCTTCTTACAGCGACGCCCCAGGAACAGGGCAGGAGCGCTGGGGCCCCCGGCCGCGTTCACGGGGTCAAAGCGGGTGCCCTGCAGCGGGCGTGTCCACTTGCCTTTAGCGTTGAAGCCCCGGCACTGGCGCAAGGGGTCCCCGTGCTTGATGTCCTGCCGTCGGCTCCTCCTGCCCGGGAGAAAGACAAGCAGGGGTCACCCGAGAGCAGGACACGGGGGTACAGGGCAGACACCCCGGCCGTTCTCCCCTGGAGGGCTGCCTGGAAGAGCTGACCTAGACGTACTGGAAACCCAGGGGTCCTCACCTCTTGGTGGCGGGGGTGAAGGCGGAGCAGCTTTCCCCGTCCCAGGCGCAGTAGGGGTCTCGGGCGAGGCAGCAATCCGAACAGGCTTTTCCGTAGGCACCACAGCGGTGCAGCGAGACCTGGGAGAGCCCGCTTTCTGACGACACGTAGAGCTGTTGCTGTGGGCGGGAGTGAAAGACAGGCTGTCAAACTCGGACCCGTGTCCCACCACACAGCCCATGCTGCTGCGCCTCTGAAACAGGCATCCTGATAGACGCCCGAGCGGAAGGACCCATGAGCTCACAGTCTGTATCACTTACAAGGCAGCAATGAAGTGAGGAATTAAATCAGTACAACAGACAGCCACTGCTTCTAAATTCGCACAGCTCATTTAGAATTCTTCCTCTCGTACAAAAATCTCTTTACAATCTTTGACAAACCTGCTCCAACAGGATCATGTTGTTTTTTTTCTGGGCCATAATGAAAGTCCTACTGAAAATTCAAGATCTGTAGACTGCATGCACTGCTGAAAAAGCTGATAATCCACAGAGATCACTGAGATTTAGATTGGGCCATATGCTAAAATAATTTCAAAATAAACTTGCAGATTATGGTCACTTCAAGAGTAACTGCAGCTCTTCTCTTCTCTTCTCTAAAAAAGAACAGGTTTAAGCTCCTTTATGAGAACCTCTGTCCTTGTGCCTCTTTGCAAAATACTGTGCTTTGAAGTTCATCAAATTATATTAAAACATGCAAACGAGTCTTCCTTAAAAGCGACCGTTCAGTGGCGCTGTACCGAAGCAGGACGTCCTGAGAGTGTGTGGGTCTGCTGTCCCTGCCTGAGCGGCCCAGTTCCAGCGCGGGACACTGATGCTATGTGTCCCATAGGGGGCAGCAGTGCCAAGTGACCATGAATCGGTAAGAGAGGTTTGCCTAGAGCCTGGCACTCGCACCCAGGGCCACAGAGCTCAACTCACCCTTTTGGATGATATCCTCATCGTTCTGACTGGAGTTGGAGTCTAAAAAAAACATGACATAAAAGAAACATTAAACTAAGGATAGTGATGATTTTTACTGCTGCTGTTGTCACTGCTGATTCTACTGCAATCAAGAATCTCTCCGCCAGCAGGTATGAGAGTTCCCTGAAATAGATCCTCTTTCTTCTGGCTGCTTCTTACATTTGTTTATATGGGCTCATTTGCTCTTGGTGAGGCCCTGCAGTGGTGTTAAGGGACTGGGCTTGGTGAGGCCCTGCAGTGGTGTTAAGGGACTGGGCTTGGTGAGGCCCTGCAGTGGTGTTAAGGGACATGTGGTGCAGAAAGAGAGCTGTTACCCTGAACACTTCCACCTCCTCCAGGGTGAGCTCCTCAGTGGTGCTGGGGTCCTTCGGCAGGACGATGACCTTCTGGACGGTCCCCCGGTCTAAAGCAGAGGGCAGCAGTTGGGGGAGAAGCAGTTCAGAGGAAGTCATGTCTGTCCAGCAGTGTAGCAGTTTAACAATGAGCAGCTCTTCCACCAGTCACCCATCACAGAGCCTCTTGTTCCTGGGGAGGGTCCAGGCAGCCCACCCCACAGGCTTAGGGTGCAAGCCGGGGTACACTCAGGACGGGACGCCAGGCCAGTGCAGGACAATGAATAGATCATTGTCTATTAAATTCAGCCTCCCTTATACTATTTATACCTGCAAAGGCATTTAAAGACTTGAATATAAAATGGCACCTGCAACTGGCTTAGTCTGTTTCTTGTACCTTCCTCTGTCTCCGTTTCATTTTTTCATTTTATTACCGAGACAAAAATAATGCATTGAGCCACCAGTCTCATATAACATATATTACACCAGCGTTTAAGTCCAGGGAGGTCAAGGCCCTCTCTGGGCATGAGCTCTGTACAAGCCTGCTCGAGCAGCAGGAGGGAAGGTGTTGTTATTGCTTGCAGCCCCGGGGAACTGAGCTCTAAGCCCCTCTGTAACTGAGGCCCTGCTGTGCTCTTCCTCACCTGTGCCGAGGAAGAGGACCTCATATCTCCCATCCACTGCATCCACCAGGTCCACTGCTATAGTGGTGAAGCGGTAGTCCACCCCAGTCCTCACCACCAGAGGGCGCCGGTTCAGAGGGTAGACAGACAGGTACATCAGGGGGTGAGTGCGGATGAAGTTGACCACCTCGTCTGAGAAGTCTTTGGTGGTCCGGACCCCAGGGGTGAAGGTCCCGCCAGGACACTGAGAGCAGAGGGGAGCAGAGAGAAAGACCAGGTGTTAGACAAAGGCGTTCAGAGAGAGAGACAGTAATTCTGGCACCACGAGGCCCACCGGTGCCCAGAGATCCCCTCAGCCAGCTGGTTCCCAAGCTCACTGACACCAGCCAGCCTCAGGACAGCACAGCTACAACACTAAAGGTCAGGGGCTGAGGATACCACAGGCCCTGAAGAAACAACACACACTCAGGGTGAATTAGTGATTCTGGAACTAGTTCTTTTTTTTTGCTATCAGAAAGGTTTGCAAATGATGAAAAACCATCATTTTTAGTCTGTACACCAGGTGGCGTCCCTGATGGGTTCTTCAGCAGGTCATATGGAACATCACCCTCAAGGCCTTCGGGCTCCCCACTGGACACGTCCATTTTCCCAGGCTGCCTCACAGGCACGACCACCCCTGTACACATTGGCCAGGTGTATGACCAGGGTGAGAGTCAGTGACCACAGAGTCAATGAACAGCCTGGCCACAGAAACTGGATACAGGCAAACCTGGCTGTCCAGAGAGGACAGGCTCAGTGCCCGCAGCCTGGCCACAGAAACTGGATACAGGCAAACCTGGCTGTCCAGAAAAGACAGCCTGTGCTCCCACTGTCAGCAGATTCACGTTGTGCTGCCATGGAGTAATACTCTGGGATTAGACAACCCAAATAACAATCTCTGCACAACTGCCAGAATCACAGGAGTTATCAATCCTGCTGGGAGAGGAAGCTCAACAGAGTTTATAGCCCAGTATA